TACAGCCATGTATCACGTAACGACGGGGAAATGTTTTGAGAAATGCAGCATTAGGCCATTTCATCATTATGCAAACATCATAAAGTGTAATTGCACACTACATGTAACACGGCACTGTTTTACAGAAAACTTTTTTTATAAATATAAAGAGTACACTAAAAATAGATAAAAGTACAGTATAGTAAATAATAAACTAGATATTTGTTATCATCAAGTATTACGTACTGTATATAATTATATGTGCTATACTATTACACAACTGACAGCACAGTAAATTTGTTTACAACACCCTTGCCACAAACACACAAGTATTGTGTTGCACTACAACATGACCTCAGCCATGTCACGGGCCCATAGGAATTTTTATTTCCATTACAGTATAATCTTAAGGGACCACCATCGTATATGCGGTTTGTCATTTAGCAAAACATCGTTATGTGGCGCATGACTGTACATACTGTACAGAAACAGAGACCTGTGCAAATCCACTATGTTAACATCTTGACTAATGAACCAATTAAGGATCATTCCTAGAACTGCCAACTTCCATGTTAAGAGTCCATGTTGTTAACCAGCATGCCACCTGCTGGCCATTATTCACCCAACAGGTGTGATTTCTCCTGCATGTGTTAACAGAATCTCATGGCATTAGAACTGCACCTTTAGAGTAGATTCCCCGCCGATATAAACAAAGACCACGCCATGGCGGTCCAGGATGTGCTCGAACATCTGCCTGCTGGGAAGGGACCTCACCACGGGCCTGGAGAGGGAGAGAAAATAAAGGGTTTTGAGTTTCATTGGCCCATGTTCAGGGAACACAGCAAAATTCTTTGCGGTACAATTGCAGGAGTGGAGGGGTCATGGGGAGGGATAGGCAGCAGTGCAATACTGAACAAGACCGCAATGTAAGAATCAGAACACACCAGAGCGGAGTCAGCAAACACACGCATGCATGCACACACTACAACACGTGAGAACAGACAAACTCCTCACAAGCTGTGCAGGTGCACAGCACCACCTAGTGGACAACTCAATTACATTTGCCCCATGCACCGATCCCAAAGGTCCTTAGATAGAACGCACAGGATTAATGGTCCAGTTCAGCAAAAAAAAAAAAAATAATAAAAATAACTGAGGTAGCATGAAGCATCACACAGGGAGCGGAATAAGTGTTAGCATGGGGGAAGGTAAAAAAAACACCACTTTACAAGCCATCGACACCATATTATTCATCTACAATACAATGCAAAAAAGTCTTAGGCAAAGAAAATGTTCAAATGATCTTCATGCTGGTGTAAAACTATATTACGTCCGTCAGAGTGCGATAGCTTAACCATCTGAAAACCTCTCCTAAAGTAAAAAAATTCATGGGTGTATTGGATGACTCAACCACTAGCATACCTCATATTGCTAATAGAGCTGGTGGTGAAATTTAACAAATATATGGAATGGCAGGGGTGCCCCTGAGGAGAGGTTTGGGAACTGAAGCGGTGTCCATCTACAAGGTATAAACAACTTTCTGAAGAACCAGATACATTTTTTTGTTTGTTTTTATTGTATTACTATTAATTTGCATATGTTCTAATGTTAAATTGGGTTATTTTTTCCTGAGTAAACACACATATATCTTTTACATTTTATGAATTAAATTCAAAGGTTCTCATTATGTAAATCAAACCTGACAACAACACGCATCATTCTGCTGCAGTACATTACTGATCCCCATCACGGTCCCCGTGGGTGTGTTAACCCCGCCTTATCAATTATCACATAACCAAGCGACTGACAAATGAGCGAATCCATCTGCATATAAAGACATCTTACCCAGCTACTCTGTTTGCAAACTCGATGATGTCATCCTTGGTCCTGGGACCCTTGTAGTTGTAAGCAAGATCGCCCTTCAACCTGAGGAAGGAAGAGCGGCCATTACAGAGCAGGGACTTCTGGGAGAAAAAGCACCAGGAAGAGGAAGACACGCCCGTGAGCATTCAATGCTTTCCACCCGACTGGCGCCAAGGGAACAAACTCTAAGCAGAGACTGAGGTCAAGGCGAATAAAACACTAAAAAGCCGCTTCCTTCACCTCACCTCCGTGCGGCTGGGCGCTCGTTGCTTCATTAGCAATCTGAAGATTGTGGAGTGAAAACAACATTTCTATAAGAATGCAAATGGGTGACGGAAATGCTGATTCTAACAAAGGCTTCATGCCTTCTGCCCTGAATGGCGGTATGGCCTTTAGATGGCAGAAACAGCAGAGGAATCACAGTGGAATGAAGAACAACTCAGGTCCTATCATACGGAATAAGGAACATTATTATTAAACCTCACAGACTGAGCTGGATCCTTCTTACAGCTAAATTTACACCACTATCCATGATTCCTATTAGACAGTCTCTCAACGCACTTTGAATTGTTGTAGGAAGGTAAGATACAACCAATACAACACAAAGTGAGACCGAAGACTGCAATTGACAGACAGAATGAAAGGCCTGCCACAGGAGCCATAATGAACAAAATGCAAAATTTTCCATTTCAAAGGGCTTACAGGCTATCCAGCATCTTTTGCTGGCTTGAAATCACTGACCACCAGCACCCCCATTACAGTAACACACCACAGTAAGCTGAAAAGAATAACTAATTAAAAGACAACATACAGTAGCATTGTTACACTGAAGTGCGATTTACACTCACAGTTTAATCGTAGGGTACCCACGCACTCCAAACTCTGAGGCGACACCTGAAAGAACGTAGACATTGTTTGCGAATCAGCAATTTATTGGTATCACTATTAATACACGACTGGGAAAACAGAGCAAAATACAGCACAAGAAGAAGACTTAACACCTGACTGATCGACATATAAACACAATCTGTAATTGAGCTGGATAATGCTGCATGGGATTAAAACTGAACCTGAATACAATACATATGGAAGCTTGAAGCTGAGGGACCTCAGGCAGGAAACTCACTGGAATACGCTGTGGCGTCCATCTTCCCCACATTGATCGACGAGCCTGAGCTCTTCAGCTCTGCCCCGATTTCATGCCACACTGGCTCCAGTTTCCTGCAGTAGCCACACCAGGGCGCATAGAACTGCAACACACAGGTCAGTGCTTGTGAGCCACACCAGGGCATATAGAATGCAACACACGTCACTGCAGTACAGCGGCGCCATGCCTGGCGAACAGCGGGTGCAGCTGGAGTCGGGGTGAGCTGCCCACCTGGCCAACAGGGCACACATTCTGATTCTGCTAGTTTATGCGAGTGCCAACACTTACTTTCACCAACCAGATGTCATCTGCTCTATTGTCCTTAAACCTGCAGGATATAAAAAACACAAGTTACACTAAAATTCTGTGCAAATGCAATTGAGATAACACGTAATAAGTAATAACTAGCATGTGGCAAGATTTAGCAGGCTATGTCTGTCGAAAGCCAAATGCAAATTATATTTGATAGACTAGATTAAAGTACAGTATGGATGGGCTTTCCACAACTTCTTTAAAATGCATGCTTACAGCACGCCTGATGTAAATCAGGATGCACAGGGTACACAAACAAATGCTAAACAGAGAGATTAAGCAAACTGTACATACACAGAACTCACACTGTGCCAGTTATACAGTGCAGATCAGGTGGGTGCCCACATTATTTGCAAAAACACGTCTTACCGTCAAGCAAATATACTGAACATAACATTATTTGAACCAAGGTCTTCACACCTATTATTATATACTACTTATATTGATTTATCTCAGTCAGCGAGGCTTTTTGGACCTAGAAGACTAGCAGAGTACAAGGCTGAAGGAGCCCAGCGTGTGAGGCGGCAGCACCCCGCACCCCGCACCCCGATACACTGACACCCTGACCGGCACATCTGCTGCAGCCCGGCGCGTCCCTCAAATCTCAGCATCGCTTACGTGTCATCCAGGTCTTCGACGTGGGCGAAGGCCGTAGATAAACTCAGCAACAGCGCTGTCAGCATCCAGACAGACGCGCCATCAGCATTTTTAAGGACAGAGAAAACACCCCATATAGACCTATTTAACCATTTAGCCGGTAAGCCGGGCAGACAAGGTACCAGCAAGATACATTTCTACTTGTTTACGAACTAACAGTATAAAAAGAAACATTATTTCAAAATGAATGGACAGAGCATGTATATATATTATTCAGGACGGGTGAAATGTAACTAGCGAGGGCATAGTACATGAGAGTTTGGTAAGTACCTGCACAGAGCCGCACAGACTTCTCCGGCGCCATCTTTCCTGTGGGAGGCACATTACGACGCATGCGCACAAGCAACCGAAGTTTCGTCGGCTCACCGACTCTGGATCAGTTTAATGATTTACATCATAGACATCATACGGCTGATTTAAGACCGACATCCACTGATACCGGATCAGTTTTGTTATCCACCTTTTAACGATTATGGATAGCGATTATGCGCACGATCGCAGAGGTAATCATTTACTGGATCTGTGGAACAGGCTGTTGAAATGCCCTTGGTTTGAAGTAATGATAAGGTTATGTGTCGTTTACGGGACAGCTGATGAGAGCTGATACTAATGTCACAGTGATAAACTTCCCCTATATCATCATAAGCAATGCCTCCAAAATATGGGTACGCCATAGAATACAGCCTGAAAAATGACGCGATTAAACATAAATGTGCTACCAATCACGTGTCCCATGTCATGTGAAATATACAGCATTTTAACCTGCAAGTTGTTTTGTTCTGTCCAAATTGTCTTAGGAATTAAGTCATAACACATTTGCCAACAGCTGTGCGAAAACATTTAATCACAGCTGATCAGCTATAAATGCAGGAGAAATGTCCTTTCAGCTGATGTGTGGGTTAGAATTGTATTAAATGATTTCTTTATGTGAAGAATAATTACATTTTTCCAAGAAAATACCACAGCCCTGTGTCCTTGATGGATGGATGGATGAGGCCTCAAGACAGCAATAACATTTATTGTCTCATTAATAACACAGTTATTGTTAACAGAAGTTGGTTTTATTAGACATTTACAAAAATAACACTGTCTTTATTTTTTAAAATCTATGAGAGATTATCAAGCATTCTCAAAAGTGGTATAATGTTCAACATTCAACACACACACACACACACACACAGTGCTGTGTGATTTGTTGTAATACATTATTACAGTGACTGATGGAGAGAATTTTTTGCTTGGTCTGTGTGGTTTATACAATAAACCTGTGCAGGTGCTGAATAAAATGCATCCTTCAAATTGTTTCAACATCAATATAAAACACAGTTTAAAATGTCCCAACACTTTAACCGTTAGTTTCTTGCACTGAACTTTAGCATGACTTGCAGACAAACAGAGCCAATATGGAGTTTCTGATTGCCAACCCATCTGCAGAGCCAAAACTGAGCTTGTGATGGCCACTTAACCATCTACAGAGTTAAATGGAGCCTGTGACAGCCACTGAACCATCTACAGAGCCAAAATGGAGCCTGTGACAGCCACTTAACCAATTACAGGGTTAAATGGAGCCTGTGACAGCCACTGAACCATCTACAGAGCCAAAATGGAGCCTGTGACAGCCACTTAACCATCTATAGAGCCAAAATTGAGATTGTGATGGCCACGTAACCATCTACAGAGCCAAAATGGAACCTGTGACAACCACCATCTACAGCAGGGGTACCCAATCTTATCCACAAAGGGCCGGTGTGTATGCAGGTTTTTGGGATAACTTGTAGGTCAGCTGTTCGACAAACCCAGGTGTGAGGATTCTTTCAGCCAATCAGTCCTCTAATTAGTAATCCAATCAGGGAGTTGCAACGAAAACCCGCATAGACACCAGCCCTTTGCGGATAAGATTGGGTACCCCTGATCTACAGAGTCAAATGGAGCCTGTGACAGCCACTTAACTTAACTACAAATCCAAAGCAGATAACATGATGAACTGAAGGAGGTACAGTCATTGTTTTAGACCCAGGAAAATACAGGCATGCGCCTCTTAACGACTGGGCTATGGTCTGAGAAATGCATCGTTAGGCAATTTCATAATTGTGCATCATAGAGTGTACTTACATAAACCTAGATGGTATAGCTAACTACACACCTAGGCTACAATAAACTTTTAAAACTAATAACATAATTGTTTATCAAGTTTTATGTACTGTACATAATTATATGCGCCATACTTTTATACAAATGGCAGGGCAGTAGGTTTGTTAACACCTGCATTATCACAAATCAGTAAGCAACAGGCACTTTGCTGCTCCGTTACAGTATAATCTTATGAGACCACGGTCATTATGTGGCGTATGACTCTAATACTGAAACAACTTCTAACTAACTCAGGAAAAACTGAATTGTCTGCTAAGTTTGTGTCCTTTTAGTAAGACAGAGTGAATAGAATATATATCCACAATCTGAAGGTGTAATTCACAAAACAATTTTTAATTCCTGTTCATTTCTATTATACCCTTATTGACACTAAAATGTTCCCATTGTAGTTTATATAGCAAAGCAGAGCAAAGTTCATATTTTGGAAAAGACCATCTGACATGGATTAGCTTCTGCAGACTTCAGTGCTAAGGCTCTGTGCCAGCTATCAAAGATGGAGACAAAATGCAAATGCTGCTCAGCAGACAGCTGGTGGCGCCACTGAGGCATCAAGTCAGGCCAGCCAGCTGAACAAGCCTCTGCTATTGCTGGGTCACACCGAACACCTGACCTACTGGACTCTGTTAATCAGTCATTAGTAAGAACTGAATTGATCCTACAGAAATATGTTTACATTCACAGATTGTAAGTCAAGCCCTTTCATCCAATATAATGTGCTTCACTCATGTTAACACCACAAGAACCATTTTGGCAACACAAATACACAGAGAAATGAGCACAACTCCTGATAACAGGTAGAATTCACAGATCACAAATCAGGTCATAGCTTCTGATTGTCCCATCAGGCGTCAGCAGGAAACATCAGCTGATGGGTGGTGAAGATTTCCGTTCCTGAGAGGAGGAACTCGTGCAACTGGAAAGTCTTGAGGAAACTTTGGCTATTGTTTCTGGGAGCAATTTCTCCCTGTGGCTCAAGCTCATCTGAGGTCACGCTCATCCCAAACCAGCAGAAGTGGTTTAATCCTGAAGCTGTCCTCAGCTACAACTGGTTCAACAACATGGATACTGTATGCTGGTATTAATCTAAATATCACAACTAAATAAAGCTTGATTCTCCAGAAAATCCCCCAAGAACCAGGTCGGCCAGATGTGCTGTGTTAGCCCCCATTGACCCCAGAACCCAGCCCAGGGTCCTACCACAGGGTCACCCTAATCGTCCTGAAGCACAGGAGACCAGATGCGGGGTTTTGTAGGGGCCGCTGACTGTTCAGCCAAGCCAGGGGTGGACAGAGTGAGCTGGAGGAACCTTGCATCACTCCAGGATGTCGGTCTCAAAGGGCACCAGGTGGTAGTAGGTCAGGTTTGTGACGTAGACCTCAGGGTTGTCATGAATATCATCGGGCTCCACTGTCAGGAAATCATCGCTGTTCTCAAACCTGGATGGAGATGCATATACATTCGTCAACAGAGAAGCTTTATGAGATGCATTCTGCAGCTTCCAATAATTGACACTTTTTATTGATCCCCTTGGAGAAATTCTCTTTATGCCTCCCCCAACTTGCTCTCTGTCGCTGAGCGCAAGCTGGCCACGAAGGGCAGCCACCCATAGCAGCGCCCACAGAGCTGGGGGTTAAGGGCCTCACTCAAGGACCCACAGACGCACCAAGGCTGGACTCAAACCTGCGACCTTCCGATCACGGGGACAAAGACTTAGCCCACTGGGCCACATGCTGCCCCCTAATTAGAATACATTACAGAATACATATGAAAGATCACATTCCATCTTCAAAAGTTGGTTTTCTTGGGAAAATGCATGTCACGTGGCCCTCAGAGGGTTGAGGCTGGACGTGCTCCAAAACACTTGTTTAAAAATCAGCTCTTCCCATCTATTCGTGCCACTTCCTCTGAGGCACTTCCTGGATCGAGGGAGGTGCCGGCATTCCAGGAAGTGCTGGAATGGCTGGGGAGTACGCGTGACTCCCAGCTGTGAGCATTCCTCTGACTGCGAGTCAATACAGAGAGTCGTCCTGCTCTCTGCACAGGCGTGACTGGGTCATTACTCATACTACATAAGGGGACTGAAGGCATGACAGTATAAAATAACAGCAGAATAAGTGAGACCAACAGAAAATGGAGCAACCAATAAATAAATAAGCAAGGGAGACTCACAGATGCTGTGCTGGGTCTGTGGAGGGGGGGCGGTCTTCGTAATGAGGCTGGTCTTCGTCATGAGGGTGGTCTTCGTCATGAGGCTGACTCTGATCGAACACAATGCTCTCAGTGTTTGCCAGGCAGAATCCATTGGATCTCATGATCTCTACAAAACCAAAGAGGCAAAGCTGAACACCAGCTCTCTATGTACGGTACCAGGCCTGAGCTCTGACTATCTGACAGAGATGACTGCAGGTATGGCTTACCGGATATTTTGACTGGGCTCTGAAAACACGGCTGGATCTTGTAGACATTGTCGTTCCTCAACACCTGGTCTAACGGAGATCTCTCAAAGAACGTAAGCACCACCTCAGACCTGGAATACTGGAGACGTCACATGTCAGCCACTATGTGCTGACCACACCATCACGTCTGTCTGAGGAATGAGACGAGTGTGGGTCTGCATGGCCCCAACCATCTCCCGTTGGAACTTCAGTAGGAACATCATGCCCTGCTGTTCTCTATGATATGTCGATCATCCCACTGAGATATACTGAACCAGCATGAACAGAGCTTGTAGGCCTGGGCTTGCTCCATGAGACACATGCTACTTTGCTAATGATTTTGCCTTTCTGGTTATACATTCCTGCTCCTGCTGTTCTTGTGAGTGAGTGAGTGCATTTGAAGGCTTTGCTGGATCCGGTTCCCTCCCATATGAAGCACAGTTGTTTGGATTCTCCGCCACGACTGACAACCATAAACCTCCCTGAACTATGTGTCTGTTCGTACAGCGTGTCCGTGCCTCTGTGTGAGAATCGCTGGGAGGGGAAGGGGGGGTCACACCTTGCAGGGCATATGGATGGTGGTCTTCAGCAGTCTCTCCACCTCATTTAGCCTGGCTTCAATGTCACCAGCCTCTTTAATCTTCACAAGCCCTAGTGCACATCACACAAGTCGCTTTTTAGACAGTTTCACAGACAATTTCACACGATTTCACGCACTCAGATATCATGTTGGCTCCAAGCCATGTTCTCGTGACCACATCCTCTTAAGCTGGCAGATCTATGACCTTATGAAGTCTTACAGCCTGAACAAGACTAACATTTCAACTGCCAAAAATCATACTGTTCATATAACTACAAAATTATCTGATTTGAGGCATCAGCTTTCAGTTCAATGTATCTTCTGGTCTTTAAATCCACCAGGGCTGACCAAATGTTGCCATTTTAACACCATGTTAACAGTAGCAGCAAATTAGCCACGCAGGCAAGCAGTTATCTGTTGTCAATAAGGATGTTTGTGTTTTTCAGCTGGAGCAGCATGTTGTCAATTATATTCAAAACGCACGGTGCTATAAAAAACATCAGCAGACAGGAAAAAATGGATCGTGACTAAATATCACAATGTGTTTTAACTTGTAGTTATCGCTGTAGGTAAACTTGCAAACAGTTACTAAAAGTCACACATTCTAATATGTCTGCTTGACATGTGAATTCATTAATGGTGATAAATGAATCATTACAACATCAGTTGCTCTTTCTGCGGCTGTCTTCCTTAGCTACGTGCATTTGACGCTAATTCATACAAATTTTTGTCTGCCTGTGCCGAAAAAAACATTCTATAAGGATCATACAACCAGAGGCATTCAGTGCTAAAAAGCCACTGTTTCTCCTAAAGCTTATTTGTGAGTCTTTCTTTTGGGTAGATCTTTGCATATATACAGTAGTTGCTTTGTAAACAACCTGAATAAATTCTATGTGATCGCTATAATAAAATAGATTAGTCTTATTATTTTATTTTTTTATTTTAAACATTTGCAATGTATCTAATTATATCACATCTGTTTGATGTAAAAACTACTAAATTTACTTTCTTGTATATGGGTTTATTCGGGTTTTTACCAGTCATGCATTTTAGCTGCTTAATCAAAAGAACTCTATGTGTCATATTATATCCCTGCCAAACTTCAAGGCGGAGGGAGGGCAGGGGGGGTTGGTGGTGAGGTCATTCCCTGTTTAGAACCAGAACTTGACAAAGAGACACAGTCTCGGCTATCCAGAAAGAAAGGCCATTTCAGAGGACGTCTCAGAGCAGAGCTGATGTACTACATGTCATTCATTGATAGAAGGCAGGGCCATCATCAATAGACCAGCCCCAAGTCGCTTAATTACAGGAGCAGATATTTAAATTTTGCTGGGTGGATGTAGAATGGAATAGGGATGAGAAACCAGCCACAAGCCATTATCCAACTGCATTAATATAATGCTTTGCTGAGGTTAAATATAAACATTTAAAGTTATCAGACAGCAAGTATTTTAATGAGTCTTGGATGACAGTATATAATGGTTTGCAATGGCCTGACTCTCAGCATGAAGCTATAGACTTTAAAACATCTACAATCCACAGACTTTAATTCTACACATGAAGTGATGCTCAAAAACACAAACGAGATAAAAGCAGACCGTTTTTTGTCTTCGGATTAGGAGTGTTCTGTGTTCCTGAAAGTCCGGGAGACACTCGGCTTGCAACCCGCTCTCCTGCTCCCCAGAGTGCTGTGACTCTTCCCCCCCCCGCCTGTGACTCCCCACACTCTCAATACCAGGATGTAAACAAGCCCAGCAGTAGGGTCGGCACAGGGCACAGCCAATCAGGGCCTTGCCCACTCAGAAAAGAGCAGCAGCCCCAACCGTTTTAGAATGGGAATAGATTCTGTGTGACTCAAGCAATTCATAAAATTGCTACTTTTAATATGAAAAACAAAACCTGCCAAAGACTGCTGCTGTCCAAGTACTGATTGCTGAAGCACAGCATGGTAAAACTGTAACCCTTGGCTCTTATTTTGAATTTTCGTGCACCTTTAGTTCTATTATTCCTAACTCCTAGTCTAACAAACTCAATTTAATAATGAGCAGGGAGGTCTTTTGTGTCAAAAGTGGCTTCCGTGTGAAAAGTCTCTAAGGGTCTGAAGTTTCAGTGGGAGGCTCGGGTTGATGTCACTTCCTGTCAGGAGCTTTGGGGGTGGGGGGGGAGCAGGTCTTGGCTTTTATACAATGTTGTCCTGTGACTGTTTATCCAACTTGATCTGTTTTAATCTTTTTGAGCTGTGAAGTTCGGGAGCCAGTAACAATACAGAGTGGTGATCTGTGAACGGTCAGATCAGAGCACGGCATTGGAGTGATCATCACAGTGGTCATGCGTGGATAAGTCTTAGACAAAGTCCACTACGACAGCATGCAGGCAAACACACTGCTAAGCACATCCAGACAGACAGACACTTATGAACACTACCATGTACTGATATGAAGCACTGTCACAGAATAGGACACAGTAGGACCCCACTGTCACCAATCGGTACAGGGTAGTACAGTGATCCCCCACCTATCGCGGAAGTTACGTTCCAGACCCAAAACAAAACGAAAAGTTCACAAAAAGTTTGCTCAGAAAATGCGATATTGCGGGGGCACAATAACTGAACCGCGATGTGGCGGGGGATCACTGTATTCCAACTGTGCAAAGCTGGCACTGCATCATGTGACCACAAGAGGGCGCATCATGGTAATTGGTAGGCAGGAAATTACTCATCAACTGCTTAAATCAATTAACACTGGGTGGAATTACCACAAGACCATTTAAGGAAATCAAAGAAAAAGGCTTAGTTACATTATCTATATGAGTCATCAGAGCAGGTTTAGGAGATTTACATATGTTAGGGACAGAGGTGGACATTTCAGATCCAGAAAGTAAAAATCCAAAATTTTCTTTGAACCAACCAGTTGAGTATAAAGAGTCACATTCATGGAGTACTCAACTGGTTGGTTGAAACAAAATCCTGGACTGGATTTTTTCTTTTTGTACCTGAAATGCCCACGTCTGGTTAGGGAGCCCATCCTGGAACACAGCTGTTGCTTTAGCCTCCCTTTAAGCTACTGGCTACACTGTCAGAAAAAGGAGTACAGCCCTGGTACAGTTTTGTTCCCCGAGGTACAAACAGAATTGATATACCCACAACGATATAAAAATGTTCCTAAGAGTCCATTTCTGTACCTTAATTAGACTAAAAGATACATTTACCTACAGCTAGTGTACGACTGGCAGATCCTTGAGGGTACAGCCCCAGTGCCAAGTAATTGTACCTCAAAGGTACAAATTGGTACTTTTCAGTTACAAATGAAGGAGGCTTGCGTTCATTAAAATGTCCGTCTCTCACGTGCAGCATGCTCACTTCTTACTGAAAAACCCCTCAAAGAGAGCAAGTAACCGATTCATTCGCCACTCATCCACCCCAAGGTCTCTGTTGTTATTCGCTGCCCTGCTGACACCAGACAGGGGACGACCAAATGAAGACACTCAACATACTCTTTGCTCAATGCTGCAGAAGGTTTACATCAGTGAATTTTCAGGTTGTGTTACATTCTGCACAGGCACTTAGCCTGAACCCCACTCAAAATTTGCTTCAGACCCCCATTGGCATAATCCACAGATAGGAAACACCCCCCACCCAAGTTTGTTCCTGGCTACAGGCCTAATTCTGGGTCCAAAGGGGCTTTTGGTGGGACATTCAGCGTGACAAACATAGACAGGATGCAGACGTGACCTTTACACAGACATCGCCCAGATGCCAAGTGACATCACTGATCATTTTATTACATGTATCTATTGCTCTAATAAATATCAGTACAAAGCAAAGTGTAGCTGCTTGTGTCTCAGTTTGGATACAGTGTTTTGGAGACTGTGCCAGGAATGGCCATTGGTGGCCTCTTTAAACCACTGACTGCACTGAAGAAAAGAATGGGCCCAATAGACACCCCTTACAGAAACTGAGCCATGCCTGGTAAGAATCTTTGGGGGGGGGGAATCTACCTCCATCTCAAGCCATTTATCACACATGCCCCCCACCCCTGCTGGGACCATCTGGCTCCAAGCTAATAGATCAGCCACTGATCCCCAACACCCAGCCAGTAACAGTAAGAAATACTCCCCCTGTCCAGTATTACAAAGTACGCCCACATTTTTCTGCCAAGTACTCGTCTCAATCCGTCAGACATCGGAAAACTGCTAACATCATTTGTACATTATGTACACTCTACATGTAGACTATTCACCTATCACTATGCTATGTGACCCAGCTTGATTGTTTGATTGATTGATTGATTGACTAATTCAAATACGATAAATCGTCTCTATTTGCTTTATTGTTATCGGTAGCATTGGGCTGCAGACGGTCATAGGTGAGAGCAATCGGAGATCGGCAGGCCGGGGTGATGGATAGGCACTTTGGTGTCGTTTGCGTGACTGCATTATTAAGCAACCTGTTTTTCGGTGGAAACGAACGTGTTGCAAATTTTTAAATGGACAGTGTGGGTTTTGAACCCCACTAATCTGATTATTCGTGAGTAAGTTTAATATCACTACGATAATTAAGTGGTTAGAAAATGGGCGGATTTATATTCAGAAAGTCTGCAACAGCAAGCATTAAAAGTCTGCGTGCCACTACTTCACGTAACTGTTGACCCACAATTCCAAGACACACGTGTTTACATATCTCAAAAGCATTTAAAGTTATCTATCTATAAATCTATATCATTCCATTCTAAACCTGAAATTAGCTACATCAAAAGCGTTAGGATAGTTTGCAAACCTTATAGACTATTTACAAGGTAATAAAACTGTTACATACACATAAACGCATGTGAATGTGGTGCAGACTTGTCTCGAATTGAAAATCTCACGCCAGCCAGCTGACCAAAATTGGCAACCCTGTGTTACAATGTGTAGGCTATGTCTAGCATATGATTTTTCTGATTTTAGTAAAGTCTTGTAGTAGGATTTCTTTAAACTCATAAAAAGTCAGAAATACCTACCGTCTATGAGCGGAGATTGAGACAGATCCCCTCTGTCCTCCGGGAAGGATTCCACGAGCCTCTTAAAGAGCCGCCCCAAGTCCGAGTAACTGCGGTGCAGATAGAAGACGCTCCTGTCCGACCACTCCGTCCTGATCTCGAAGAAGTCCTCCTCGCCCCGCTGGCTGACGACCAGGCGCCGGATGCCGTTAACCCAGCAGTCCTTCACGAACATGTTCACCAGCGACGTGCCTTCAAAAACAGCCGATGCCATCCCGCCGCACTCAGTCTCGCATGCTGGTGCCCCTGTCGAGGACTAGCAGCTGTGACCGGCGCAGGAAAGCGTTAAAGGAAACTGTGAGATGCGCCCTTTCTATTGCTCATATAATGGGCGTCCTCTTTCCAAGCCGGCACCAGTGTACCAGCCCAGGCCGGCGACAGGCAGCACCGCTAAGCGCAGAAACTCCTCCAAACGTCACACTGTCAGCAAAAAGCAAAGCAGCACTCTGTCATCCACCAATACTGAATGGTATTTTAGTGTTTTATCCAACTTACCAATAAAATCAATGCCTTTCCGAAGTTTTACGACTATATTATGCGTTACCCTATGAATTTAATGATTAAAATTTAAATGATAGACTACAAATTTGCACTTAAAAATAGAATGTCAAAGAGTCAAAATATTCCACTTAGCCTAAACTGCGTTTAACTTTCGTTTTGCATTATGTAAATCCCCAGCAGCGTACGTGCTTATTTGGGATTTAAACTTAAGTTTAATGTTAAATCCTTTTTAGGTGTCCCGTCTCTATTAAAGAAAGGCATGAAAAAAAACTCCGATTCTTCTCCGCTGAAGCAAGTCCACCCCCCTCCCGACTCCTCCCGCGTGCCAACCCCCGCCCCGGCCTCCTCTTGAGTTTCCTTTGTACAAGAACTAGAAGTTTGACCCAGTTGAGATATAGATGTTTTAGTGATGAACAATTAAGGAGGATTTGGTACACAGAACAAAAAGCAGTTAAAAAAAAAACAATAGCGACGTATTTCTAAAGTAATGTCGCGTTGAGGGTTTGGCCTAAAAAAGAACTCCTTTATAGATCTCTATATTGATGTTTCTCCATTGCTTTTTTAAAAACGTTTCAGAGAACCTGAGGTTCTTCCAGATTTTATCACTCGTCACGAATCATTAAATTGTTAAACTATTAAGAGTAACGACCAAACCACACAAATTCGTTTGTAAAAACTTCTTGGAAATGGTGTGACAAAGGCTAGTACTAATGGTGAGATCAGTCCACCGAGATAGCACTGTTCCGTAAAACCCCCAGGTCTCATGCATTATGGGATTTATACAGTCATCCTTAGACCACATTTTGACATGTTAGTAATGTCAGTGGTGTTTGTCAGTGTGGTTAGTGTGTGGGTCGGAGTTGTTGATGACCAGACATCAGACCAAAAATAAGGTAGCATGTTCTCCATGGCAACAAAACCCAGTGAATTTTATATTTAGATCTACTTATACTGACTCTGAAATATTTCAAGGTGAGGTATTTTTATTTGAAAAATAAATTATTAATCATGTTTATTGCACAATCTAGAGTAGCGGCAATTGAACTTCTGGTTTCCATGTAGGTTCATGCATATGACAAAAAAAACTTAAATTTAAAAATCATAATTTTCGTATTGATTACAGGGTTGGGCAATGGGTAGCACCCTCTATAGGGCTGAATGTTTGAAACCCACTCTTTTCGTATCTTTGCACGTTATCCCGCGTTTTGTCGATTCCTCTAAGTACTCCGGTTTCCTCCTGCATACTAAAGAAATGCAGTTTGGCTAATTAGCATTATAAATTGTTCAATTGCTGTCTGGGACAGGTTCCAGGGCCCCTGCAGCCCTGCATTAAGTAATCTGTATAAGATGGATGAACGAATGAAAAATATATTTTTAATTTTTGAAGCTCATTTAAACAACAAACTTAAGTCACATCAGAATCATTTGAAGCCACTTAAAATCATAGATCGTATCTGAATTTAGCTAAAATACCGAATATTGTATGTCCTCCACTGTTCTCCCCCGGCATCCCGGATCATTGATCCTCAGAGGATTTTTCTCCCCAGCCTAACTAGTCCAACCCAAGGGGACTATATTCATCTTAATCTCTGTTTTAGTTGCTTTTTCTGTGCGTTTTTGTGTTTATACAGTGCGTTATATCACACATGTCTTGAAAACATGATTTTGCTCTAACAGAATAGATATATTATCGAACAATTACACAATATATCGATATTCGCGTTTGTTTATGTGCGATTTCTCCTGAGACAAATGCAAGATAAACGCAGAAAACACTACCCAGCTGTGCCGGTTACTGCAGTTCGGCATATATGTCATCCAACAAGTGTTTGTTTTGCTATTTTTCTTCGTTTGTTAACTTTTATAGTAATTAAAAAAACACTCATTTAACGCCACAAAACAGGTCTAAGCCTCGTGGTTCGAAAAGGCTAACCAGTCAGTACAAAAAGAAAGCTTAAAGTATTGAGGAGAAGCTGAAATATTAAAGCGTTTTTACCGGAATGAGAGGACACCTGATATATATCGTGACGGACCCGGCTTTACAATGGTGCCCAACACCCTCAGATTAATAATGTGCACCCTCAGGTGGCAGTCGGTCAGTCCACATGACTGCGGTATGCTTGCTCACTAATTCCACACGCATCGTTTAGTTATCAGACCCGGCATTTTATCGTGAGAGCAAAAACACAAAGGATTCGACTTAGTGCACCAGCAGAGACAATGTCGCTACAATGAAACACATCTGGAACAACTTAAAATGCTTTGATTTATATATTAATTATATTAGCTGTTTATTATTTATAACATCGTGCTTTCTGTTCAGGTTCTTGTTTTTTGTGTGTATATGTAGGTGACGAAGTTGAGTATTTTGACCTCAACCCCGGGCCATTTTTTCTATAATGCCTGTGGTTTATACAGTATATCGCGAGCTTGCGGAGAGCTTGGTCGTGTTACAGACAGGAGCACGTACTGTATATGAATATGGCAGAAGATTGCAGAAACTCAGATAATAATAGGGAGCAACTTGAAGGTAAATTACAGGTTCTGTCATCTTTTTAGCAAACTATCATCAAGCAGCCTGAAGTCCATAGCAGCGATGATGCAGCGAAACAGCTGCAGCAGTCATACTGGGAGTTACTGGAATGCGTAGTGGGCAGCCAGGCCCACACAGGCCTGTTGAGTGTGTTGCTGACCAAGCTCGCCTTACGCAGTATTTCCACAGTACGGTGCCCCTTCCCATTTCTGGCCCATTCTTTCCTAAAATTTGGTTGCATATATTTTGTACATTCAGCAAATTGGGCCCAGCTTCTGTTTTCCTGCCAACCACATCAGCCATTGAACAGACTTCCAAGTCAACCGACTAAGGCAATTTTAATATTTCTGGCGCAGCAGTTTCTCGTTTCTCATTCCTGTGTTTGAGGTTTTAAGACATTCTTACATTCATACGGAGAGCGAAGGAGCTTGAGGTTGATGTTTGCTGAGCTCCTGTGAAAAAAACCCCCAGACCCACACCTGGGTATCCCTGGAGGTGCGGACAGTGACGCGCTCCTTTATGGCGACGCGCCTTTCCACCGAATGTTTCCTACGCTTCTGTGATCTGTGCCTTTTGCTTTTCCTTCATCTATACATCCATCCATCCTTTTTTTTTCTGTAAACTCTGCTGTTCCCCACCATTAGGGGACTGCACAGTTTCCTGAAAGTCTGTAAACGGCTGCATGCCTTCAACAGGTTAAACCAGGAACCTCAATCCAAGGCATTCCTTCATGTATGCATTCTAGGTGGGTCGTCATTTAGTATTACTTACTCTACAAAAAACTGGTTCTAAAACTTTATTTTTTACAAAAAAAAATACAAAAAAAAACCTCAATGCTGCACACGTCTATTCAACTAAAAAGTGCAGTCGCTGAACACACCTCTTACCGCATAACCTATGATGAAAAAAGAACAATTAAACATGACCTGAGAAAGAAATAATGAGCTTTAAAGCTTTATATGCATTATTGTGGAGCCTCCTTCCAGAACACGGCGGAGTATTAAGGCTCACATATTTCACACTCATCCATACAACCTGTGGTGTATGGACACTGATGATGATAAACATTCACGCGCTTCTCTTGGGCGTCAGTAAGCTGGGGAGGTGTTATTTCAGGCCGGGGGCAGGCCTCCTGCAGCGATCCGCGGACGGCGGGGGCGGGCGGGTGGCGGGGGAGACTTGGAGGCGTGCTGCTTCCGCACGTGACGCAGCAGGAGCTGCCTGTCCGGAGTCGAGTAGCAGCACTGGGGGCAGGGGAAGGACTCCCCCGTGTGGTAGCGGCGCACGTGCAGGTCCAGGCTCTTCTTCTGGATGCTGGGAAAAAGGGAGGAGGCCACAGCATTAAACAGCGCAGCGCCACACGGTGGCCGGAGGAGGCCACGGCGTCAGACAATACAGCACCACACGGGAGTCAGAGGGTGGGGCCGCAGTGTCAGATGGCACAGCGCCACACGGTGGCCGGAGGAGGCCACGGCGTCAGACAATACAGCACCACACGGGAGTCAGAGGGTGGGGCCGCAGTGTCAGATGGCACAGCGCCACACGGTGGCCGGAGGAGGCCACGGCGTCAGACA